AATTTCAGGTTTCACAAAATTGAAAAATCATATTAAAAAAATCATACTGCTTACAAGGCGGATCTAAACGCAAAAGTAACATTTTTCCCGTTATTTTAAATTGATCCCCCTGTATTGTACAGGGTGTCCGGTTAAGGGTATAGAGCGGCTGTATCTCGAGAATGGAAAGGCCTAGATGTTTAAGAAAAAAACCTTGATGACTAAAATGGACAAAAGAAATGGCTGGAAATTATTTCCAAGTTCGTAATTTGACCGCTAGGGGATATAACTGCTATGATGAGTTATAAAAAATGCGCTTTCTTGAAATGTATGGCGATGAGCTATAACTTTGAAAGCATCATATGAGAGCTTGGATAATACTGCATAATTTTGCCTTCAGACATTTTTTATAGGACTTTTTTATCAGACTTATTTTATAAGTTTATTTTTTACAGTATCTGTGTATAAATTGTATAATGTTGAACTTCAAAAATATTTTTTAAATCACCGGTAAAAAATAAAGGAAGTTCATGTTTACTTCCCTATAACTAAATCTAATAGTTTTGATGATATTAAACATTGTAGGTACACAATTTTCCGGAAACTGCGTGCATATAATATAATATAATAATTATAATTGCTTAGCTTATTTTATGACTAAAAGTTCATATAATCATAGGTCCGCATACGCTTGGTTTACCGATCTACAGGGTGTTGATATTTCAAGATGTTTTTTGTTTTTTAAAATATATATTTATTAAAATATTTTGTAAAATAAATCATTCGTACAGAAAATCGTTTTTAATTATTTATTTAAGGGGTTTTGGGGATCTTGTGGTTTTAAACACGCGTAAACTTGGTTTTGAACGGTTTAATACAATAACGATAAGTTAACAAAACAATACGGGGTGTTTATCCTGCTGTGAACGCTAGCGTACTACTTAGGAGAGCGGTCGGGTACCGCGACGCGCTGGTAGCCAGGACCGGTCCCAGGTTTCGCGCAGGATTGGCGTTAAATCCTCCCCCTTGTGTCAATCCTCGTTTCGAGGGTGGACACAATAAGTAGTCTATGGCGACGACTCCTCGCTATACCGTCGTGGAGGTCGTCGAAGGCGGGTTGTCGTCCTGGTAGGCTGTTTAGGCGATCATATCGTCGAGATATGCCAAAATCGATACGCGTTGAAGACCTCGTCGGAAACGGTCCATAAGTCTTTGAAACGTAGCAGGCGCGTTCCGGAGACCGAAAGGCATACGAACAAAGCGGTAAATACCGAATGGTGTAATAAAACCGGTTTTATCGCGATCACACTCGCGCACTGTCACCTGATGGTATCCACTCCTGAGGTCCAGTGTCGACATATATACGGTGTTGGACGCGGTATGAATCAAATCGTCGATCCTAGGTAATGGATATCGATCTGGTATAGTAACACTATTCAGCTTACGGTAATCAATACACATCCTAGTTGAACCATCTTTCTTGGGCACCAGCACTGTTGGTGCAGCAAACGCAGAATCACATTCTTCGATTATGCCCTTCTCCAAGAGTTTGTTCACTTCCGTGCGTAATAATTCAGCCTTTTGAGGTGAAACTCTGTACGGTGGAACGGCGATTGGAACCTCGCTGGTTAGGTTAATGTAATGTTCCGCATAAGGAGTTGGCGCATCGTTTTCCTCGAAGATATCCTTATGTTCGTTCAGCAGGGCCTGGAAAGCATTCCGTTCCTGAGGCATCAAATTGGCACCCTCATCTGGGCGCAACATCAAGTCGAGCAGGTTTATCGAAATTGGACCGGCTTCACACGGTTCCGGTGCCAAATCGAACTTCTGAAAAGGACTATCAGCAAAGGCAAATTCCATCTTGGGCACATTGATAAGGAGGTTAGCTCTAGTAATAAAATTAACGCCTAGAAGAGTTTTAGCAGAAGTATGTTCTGGAAAAGCGACGAATATCGTGGGGATACATCTATTTACGATTTGGACCTGACAGTCAAACACATGCGCAGTCGTTAGTTGCGATTTACCATCCGCCAATGTCAAGGTCATTTCCTTAATTGAATAATTTAAATGGTTAGTAAGAAAATGGTTATATAACCAGCAATGCTGCATCGCGCACCAGTTTCGATGTAAGCCAAGCCTTCTAGACCAGCAACAGTTACTAACAGCAAAGGACGTTTAAATAAACTATCAGCGTCGGCCAGCAATAATTCCGGACCAGAATTAGATGCATGGTTCGGGGATGAGTTGATACTCGACTTCCTACAGTTCGGGCAATTTGACCGTATATAACCGGGTGTATTACATCCGTAGCAAGCAATGCTTGAGTTACCAGGCGAATTCAATGCACTAGAATTCGAAATGTTGGGCATAGTAGCCAATTTAGGGGCACTACGATTTGTAGTAGCAAATTTGCGACACTCCGCCTGAACGTGTCCAAAATTCTTACAAAAGTTACATTTGGGCCGTTGTTTAGCAGATTTTTCGGTGTTGGTATCATTTGCGGATTTCCAATTATTCTGCTTACAATTAGTATTACTCTCCATGAAGGATTCTTCAATCGACCTAGCCTTTCCAATAAGTTGCTCAAAAGAATCAAATTCGCTCCGGGCCAACCGTTCCCTAATTCTGGAAGAGAGTAGGCTATATACAGGGTTATTCACGGTATACGACACGGTCTATATCTCATTAACGGTTCATTTTATGAAAATTTTGTAAATGTAACTTTTGTGTATGTCTAATTAAGCTACAATTTAAAATTAGTTTCAAGTATACAGGACGTCCCAAAAAAAGTTACATATCATAGTTGTTTTTTTAAATGGAACACCCCGTATATTTTTACATTTTTGGATTCTTCGTTTAAAATAAAGGTTATTTTCAATAGGACTTGCTATACCTAAATGTTAAGTTTCGTAAATAATTAACATTTTGTTAAAATGTAGACCATTTTTATTTTTTTAATAACTCAGGCCGTTTTTCAATTATTGGAACGAAAATTGCACCAGATCATGAAAATCAATCATGTTTTATCGTTCAATTTTTAAAATATTATTATTACATACAGGGCGTTCAAGATTTTATAACCAATAATGTATAACTTTAAACGTGGATTAGATGATTAATTTAAATGAAACATAGTATTTTTTAATTTTTCATTAAATAGGGCATTTAATTCCCTATCAATTGATATTAGCATGTCCTATACCTAACACGAGCCCTTTTGTCAATTTTTATAAAAAAACAGCAATAATTGCATTTGGTGTTAGTAATGAATATGGAGTAACTGTAAGTTACTCGTTGCAAGTATCTAGATGGCTATGGACAGTAGGTAAGAAATGTCAATCAATTTATTTATTTGACATTAGTGCTGTCAACTAAGATAAAAATCGATTTATTCAAATTGTAATTTCCGTTTTTGTTGTGTATTTTGTTGTTCTTTTATGTTTTTGTTATTGTTATTGAATTATCTTTTGCTTTAATTAATTCGTTGAACAAATTGGAAAATGAAAACTTATTCCAGAGAAGAGCGCGTTGATATGATTTTTATTCTTGGAGAATGTTCTCAGAACTGTTTGTTAGCATCCCGAGTTTATGCTCAAAGATTTTCCGAAGGAATTCATCCAAATAAAATGGTGTTTGAGAGATTATTGAGGCATTTTAAGGAAACTGGAAGTATCCAATACCAAAAACCTTCAACCGTGAAACCTGTAGCTGAAAACGAAGAAAGTGTTTTCTCAGTTATTGGTGCTGTTATTGAAAATCCGAATGTCAGCCAGAATGAAATCGCCCATACCATTGATATTAGGCATAGTAGTGTTTCAAGAATTTTAAGAGACCATAAATTTCACTATAACTATACAACTGTAGGAGACATTCATTCACTGATTGATTGGCGTGTTTTACTTTTTACGGCCGCAATTCGCCTTTTTCCACGGGGAAAAGTACCTAATCCTACGTAAACGGACACGGCCGATCGGAAAATCTACGTTTCGAAACCCGGAAAAGTCTCCTTCTCGTAAACGGTAGGACTTACCAAAAATTTTATAATTATGTAATTTGTAGAGAATATCGTTCTCCATCAAATAGCAATTTACGAATTTTCCTACGACAACTAATTCCTGGTGATATTACAAAATGAAAAATTTGGTAAAAATTTATTTGTACGAAAAAAATTGATTATTTCGAAAACAATTAGGTTTTGAAAAAATTTACAAGACGGCAAAATCGTTTAAAATACTTTTCACCATCGAACGATAGATTTTCCAATAAAATCGGAAAAGCCGCAAGGAAAATAGCACTTTTTTATAACCTTAATTTTTAATTTTCTCGTAAACGGTAGGACTTACGAAAAATTTTATAGTTATGTAATTTATAGAGAATATCGATCTCTATCGAATAGCAATTTACGAATTTTCCTACGACAAATAGTTCCTGGTGATATTACAAAATGAAAAATTTGGTAAAAATTTATTTGTATGAAAAAAATTGATTATTTCGAAAACAATTAGGTTTTGAAAAAATTTACAAGACGGCAAAATCGTTCAAAATACTTTTCACCATCGAACGATAGATTTTCACTGATTGATTGGCGTGTTTTACTTTTTACGGCCGCAATTCGCCTTTTTCCACGGGGAAAAGTACCTAATCCTACGTAAACGGACACGGCCGATCGGAAAATCTACGTTTCGAAACCCGGAAAAGTCTCCTTCCCGGTGAAAAACGGATTTTCCGCCCAAATTTTGGAGTTTTCGGGATTTTCTCGGAAAGTACTCCGGAGATTTTTTTGAAACTTTCCTAAAATATTCTTAATGTTATGACTAATTACTTTCCGCAAACCGCATATTCCGGAAAACCTCGGAAGGGACGTTCAACGAAAAAGAAAATTTTCCTGGCGATTGGAGTGTGACGTCATATTTATTCCTATTGCTCGGCCAAATGCGGAGTGATACACAGGGTGATGCCGTGCTCGACTCGACGGGCATGTACAGGGTGATGCCGTGTTTGATGTGCATGTACAGGGTGATTTATTGCTCGCTGAGTATGTACAGGGTGATGCCGTGCTCGCTGGGTATGTACAGGGTGATGCCGTGTATGATGTGCTTGTACAGGGTGATACTGTGTTTGATGTGCTTGTACAGGGTGATTCCATGCTCGCTGGGTATGTACAGGGTGATGCCGAGCTTGATATGCTTGTACAGGGTGATTTCATGCTTGCTATGTATGTATAGGGTGACGCCGTGCTCGCTGGGTATGTACAGGGTGATGTCATGCTTGATGTGCTTGTACAGGGTGATACCGTGCTTGACGTGCATGTCCAGGGTGATCCCCTGCTTAATAAGCTTGTACAGGGTGATGCTGTAATTGATGTGCATGTACAGGGTGATGCTGTGTGTGTGACGTGCATGAACAGGGTGATTCCATGCTGGCTGGGTATGTACAGGGTGATGATGTGCTTGAACTGCATGTTCAGGGTGATGCCGTGCTTGAGGTGTTTGTATAGGGTGATGCCGTGCTTGATGTGCTTGTACAGGGTGACGCCGTGTTTAATGTGCTTGTACAGGGTGATACTGTGTTTGATGTGCTTGTACAGGGTAATTCCATGCTCGCTGGGTATGTTGAGAGTGATGCCGTGCTTGATGTGTTTGTATAGGGTGATGTTGTTCTCGCTGGGTATGTACAGGGTGATGCCAGGCTTGATGTGCATGTACAGGGTGATTCCATGCTGGCTGGGTATGTACATGGTGATGGCATGCTTGATGTGTTTGTACAGGGTGATGCCGTGTATAATGTGCTTGTAGAGGGTGATTCCATGCTGGCTGGGTATATACAGAATGATGCCGTGTTTGATGTGCATGTACAGGGTGATTCCATGCTGGCTGGGTATGTACAGGGTGATGGCGTGCTTGATGTGTTTGTACAGGGTGATTCCATGCTGGCTGGGTATGTACAGGGTGATGGCGTGCTTGATGGGTTTGTACAGAGTGATTCCATGCTTGCTGTGTATGTACAGGGTGATTCCATGCTTGCTGTGTATGTACAGGGTGTTGCCGTGTTCGTTTTCGTAAACGGTGGGATTTACGAAAAATTTTATAATTATGTAATTTGTAGAGAATATCGTTCTCCATCGAATAGCAAATTACGAATTTTCCTACGACAACTAGTTTCTGGTGATATTACAAAATGAAAAATTTGGTACAAAAGTAAATGTATGGAAAAAATTTATTATTTCGAAAACTATTATGTTTTGAAAAAATTTACAAGAGGGCAAAATTTTTCAAAATACTTTTTACCATCAAACAATAGATTTTCCAAAACAATCGGAAAAGCCGCAAGGAAAATAGCACTTTTTATAACCTTAATTTTGAATTTTCTCGTAAACGGTAGAACTTACGAAAAAATTTATAATTATGTAATTTGTAGAGAATATTGTTTTCCATCGAATAACAATAACAATTTACGAATTTTCCTACAACTAATTCCTGGTGATATTACAAAATGAAAAATTTGGTAAAAATTTATTTGTATGAAAAAAATTGATTATTTCGAAAACAATTAGGTTTTGAAAAAATTTACAAGACGGCAAAATCGTTCAAAATACTTTTCACCATCGAACGATAGATTTTCCAATAAAATCGGAAAAGCCGCAAGGAAAATAGCACTTTTTATAACCTTAATTTTTAATTTTCTCGTAAACGGTAGGACTTACGAAAAATTTTATAGTTATGTAATTTATAGAGAATATCGTTTTCCATCGAAAAACATTAACAATTTACGAATTTTCCTACAACTAATTCCTGGTGATATTACAAAATGAAAAATTTGGTGAAAATTTATTTGTATGGAAAAAATTGATTATTTCGAAAACTATTAGGTTTTGAAAAAATTTACAAGACGGCAAAATCGTTCAAAATACTTTTCACCATCGAACGATAGATTTTCCAATAAAATCTGAAAAGCCGCAAGGAAAATAGCACTTTTTATAACCTTAATTTTGAATTTTCTCGTAAACAGTAGGACTTACGAAAAATTTTATAATTATGTAATTTGTAGAGAATATCGTTCTCCATCGAATAGCAATTTACGAATTTTCCTACGACAACTAATTCCTGGTGATATTACAAAATGAAAAATTTGGTAAAAATTTATTTGTATGAAAAAAATTGATTATTTCGAAAACAATTAGGTTTTGAAAAAATTTACAAGACGGCAAAATCGTTCAAAATACTTTTCACCATCGAACGATAGATTTTCCAATAAAATCGGAAAAGCCGCAAGGAAAATAGCACTTTTTTATAACCTTAATTTTTAATTTTCTCGTAAACGGTAGGACTTACGAAAAATTTTATAATTATGTAATTTGTAGAGAATATCGTTTTCCATCGAATAACAATAACAATTTACGAATTTTCCTACAACTAATTCCTGGTGATATTTCAAAATGAAAAATTTGGTAAAAATTTATTTGTATGAAAAAAATTAATTATTTCGAAAACAATTAGGTTTTGAAAAAATTTACAAGACGGCAAAATCGTTCAAAATACTTTTCACCATCGAACGATAGATTTTCCAATAAAATCTGAAAAGCCGCAAGGAAAATAGCACTTTTTATAACCTTAATTTTGAATTTTCTCGTAAACGGTAGGACTTACCAAAAATTTTATAATTATGTAATTTGTAGAGAATATCGTTCTCCATCAAATAGCAATTTACGAATTTTCCTACGACAACTAATTCCTGGTGATATTACAAAATGAAAAATTTGGTAAAAATTTATTTGTACGAAAAAAATTGATTATTTCGAAAACAATTAGGTTTTGAAAAAATTTACAAGACGGCAAAATCGTTTAAAATACTTTTCACCATCGAACGATAGATTTTCCAATAAAATCGGAAAAGCCGCAAGGAAAATAGCACTTTTTTATAACCTTAATTTTTAATTTTCTCGTAAACGGTAGGACTTACGAAAAATTTTATAGTTATGTAATTTATAGAGAATATCGATCTCTATCGAATAGCAATTTACGAATTTTCCTACGACAAATAGTTCCTGGTGATATTACAAAATGAAAAATTTGGTAAAAATTTATTTGTATGAAAAAAATTGATTATTTCGAAAACAATTAGGTTTTGAAAAAATTTACAAGACGGCAAAATCGTTCAAAATACTTTTCACCATCGAACGATAGATTTTCCAATAAAATCGGAAAAGCCGCAAGGAAAATAGCACTTTTTATAACCTTAATTTTTAATTTTCTCGTAAACGGTAGAACTGACGAAAAATTTTAGTTATGTAATTTATAGAGAATATCGATCTCTATCGAATAGCAATTTACAAATTTTCCTACGACAACTAGTTCCTGGTGATATTACAAAATGAAAAATTTGGTGAAAATTTATTTGTATGGAAAAAATTGATTATTTCGAAAACTATTAGGTTTTGAAAAAATTTACAAGAGGGCAAAATTGTTCAAAATACTTTTCACCATCGAACGATAGATTTTCCAATACAATCGGAAAAGCCGCAAGGAAAATAGCACTTTTTATAGCCTTAATTTTAAATTTTCTCGTAAACGGCAGGACTTACGAAAATTTTTATAATTATGTAATTTGTAGAGAATATCGTTTTCCATCGAATAGCAATTTTCGAATTTTCCTACGACAACTAGTTTCTGGTGATATTACAAAATGAAAAATTTGGTAAAAATGTATTTGTATGGAAAAAATTTATTATTTCGAAAACTATTATGTTTTGAAAAAATTTACAAGAGGGCAAAATTTTTCAAAATACTTTTTACCATCAAACAATAGATTTTCCAAAACAATCGGAAAAGCCGCAAGGAAAATAGCACTTTTTATAACCTTAATTTTGAATTTTCTCGTAAACGGTAGAACTTACGAAAAAATTTATAATTATGTAATTTGTAGAGAATATTGTTTTCCATCGAATAACAATAACAATTTACGAATTTTCCTACAACTAATTCCTGGTGATATTACAAAATGAAAAATTTGGTAAAAATTTATTTGTATGAAAAAAATTTATTATTTCGAAAACTATTATGTTTTGAAAAAATTTACAAGAGGGCAAAATTTTTCAAAATACTTTTTACCATCAAACAATAGATTTTCCAAAACAATCGGAAAAGCCACAAGGAAAATAGCACTTTTGATAACCTTAATTTTTAATTTTCTCGTAAACGGTAGGACTTACGAAAAATTTTATAATTATGTAATTTGTAAAGAATATCGTTCTCCATCGAATAGCAATTTACGAATTTTCCTACGACAACTAATTCCTGGAGATATTACAAAATGAAAAATTTGGTGAAAATTTATTTGTATGGAAAAAATTGATTATTTCGAAAACTATTAGGTTTTGAAAAAAAATACAAGAGGGCAAAATTGTTCAAAATACTTTTCACCATCGAATGATAGATTTTCCAATACAATCGGAAAAGCCGCAAGGAAAATAGCACTTTTTATAACCTTAATTTTGAATTTTCTCGTAAACGGTAGAACTTACGAAAAAATTTATAATTATGTAATTTGTAGAGAATATTGTTTTCCATCGAATAACAATAACAATTTACGAATTTTCCTACAACTAATTCCTGGTGATATTACAAAATGAAAAATTTGGTAAAAATTTATTTGTATGAAAAAAATTGATTATTTCGAAAACAATTAGGTTTTGAAAAAATTTACAAGACGGCAAAATCGTTCAAAATACTTTTCACCATCGAACGATAGATTTTCCAATAAAATCGGAAAAGCCGCAAGGAAAATAGCACTTTTTATAACCTTAATTTTGAATTTTCTCGTAAACGGTAGGACTTACGAAAAATTTTATAATTATGTAATTTGTAGAGAATATCGTTCTCCATCAAATAGCAATTTACGAATTTTCCTACGACAACTAATTCCTGGTGATATTACAAAATGAAAAATTTGGTAAAAATTTATTTGTACGAAAAAAATTGATTATTTCGAAAACAATTAGGTTTTGAAAAAATTTACAAGACGGCAAAATCGTTTAAAATACTTTTCACCATCGAACGATAGATTTTCCAATAAAATCGGAAAAGCCGCAAGGAAAATAGCACTTTTTATAACCTTAATTTTTAATTTTCTCGTAAACGGTAGAACTGACGAAAAATTTTAGTTATGTAATTTATAGAGAATATCGATCTCTATCGAATAGCAATTTACAAATTTTCCTACGACAACTAGTTCCTGGTGATATTACAAAATGAAAAATTTGGTAAAAATTTATTTGTATGAAAAAAATTGATTATTTCGAAAACAATTAGGTTTTGAAAAAATTTACAAGACGGCAAAATCGTTCAAAATACTTTTCACCATCGAACGATAGATTTTCCAATAAAATCGGAAAAGCCGCAAGAAAAATAGCACTTTTTATAACCTTAATTTTTAATTTTCTCGTAAACGGTAGAACTGACGAAAAATTTTAGTTATGTAATTTATAGAGAATATCGATCTCTATCGAATAGCAATTTACAAATTTTCCTACGACAACTAGTTCCTGGTGATATTACAAAATGAAAAATTTGGTAAAAATTTATTTGTATGAAAAAAATTAATTATTTCGAAAACAATTAGGTTTTGAAAAAATTTACAAGAGGGCAAAATTGTTCAAAATACTTTTCACCATCGAACGATAGATTTTCCAATACAATCGGAAAAGCCGCAAGGAAAATAGCACTTTTTATAGCCTTAATTTTAAATTTTCTCGTAAACGGCAGGACTTACGAAAATTTTTATAATTATGTAATTTGTAGAGAATATCGTTTTCCATCGAATAGCAATTTTCGAATTTTCCTACGACAACTAGTTTCTGGTGATATTACAAAATGAAAAATTTGGTAAAAATGTATTTGTATGGAAAAAATTTATTATTTCGAAAACTATTATGTTTTGAAAAAATTTACAAGAGGGCAAAATTTTTCAAAATACTTTTTACCATCAAACAATAGATTTTCCAAAACAATCGGAAAAGCCGCAAGGAAAATAGCACTTTTTATAACCTTAATTTTGAATTTTCTCGTAAACGGTAGAACTTACGAAAAAATTTATAATTATGTAATTTGTAGAGAATATTGTTTTCCATCGAATAACAACAACAATTTACGAATTTTCCTACAACTAATTCCTGGTGATATTACAAAATGAAAAATTTGGTAAAAATTTATTTGTATGAAAAAAATTTATTATTTCGAAAACTATTATGTTTTGAAAAAATTTACAAGAGGGCAAAATTTTTCAAAATACTTTTTACCATCAAACAATAGATTTTCCAAAACAATCGGAAAAGCCACAAGGAAAATAGCACTTTTGATAACCTTAATTTTTAATTTTCTCGTAAACGGTAGGACTTACGAAAAATTTTATAATTATGTAATTTGTAAAGAATATCGTTCTCCGTCGAATAGCAATTTACGAATTTTCCTACGACAACTAATTCCTGGAGATATTACAAAATGAAAAATTTGGTGAAAATTTATTTGTATGGTAAAAATTGATTATTTCGAAAACTATTAGGTTTTGAAAAAAAAATACAAGAGGGCAAAATTGTTCAAAATACTTTTCA